TGGACATTATACAATTGAGCAAGTCCAGAGGGATTTCACGAGAAGAGTACTCTGCTCCTCTGCTCACAATAGAATTCTTTATGCCACCAGGCTCGAAATGTTGGGTTTGGACAACCTAGAACTACGCCGACTAAGGTCTGACTTAAGCGTAGTACACAAAATTGTCTGCTACAATGTCCTACCTGTCAACGACTACTTCAGCTTCAACCACAATAATACACAGGCAAACAATTGATATAAACTCAAGGTAAACTGCTCCAAACTCAATTGCAGAAAATATGCCTTCAGCAACAGAGTGGTCAACACCTGGAATACTCTACCCGACTCCACTGTTACAGCCTCAAACCCCCACAGCTTCAATCTCAAACTGTCTACCGTGGACCTCACCCCATTCCTAAGAGATCCATAAAGAGGGCCTGCATACTGTAAATGCACCAGCGTGCCTACCATCCCTGTCCTTCTGTCCCCATCTATTTGTACTCATTTCCTTTGTTCATGCCCATGTTTATACTTATTCCTGCTATGTCGTACATGTTTGACCAACTAAATAAATACAAATCAAAGGGAAGGCTGACACCAAAGCGTACAAACAGTACAGATTTTTCCCCTCCCATCCTTTCCAGGAGGAGGCCTGGGTATCAAACTCATTTGGTGGGGCATTTGCGTGGGAAGAGACAGGCATGGGGCGTCTATCTCGGTTTGGGCCATAATTGAAAATGAGGACGGGGACGGGGACGGGGACGGGGACGGTAGGGCAGAGCGCCTGATTTCTGCTGCCAGATCTTTTCCAAAGCAGACGGTAGCGATGGTGGTCAGAGGCGGAGGCGCTTCTCTTCGGGGCTCTACGGTACGGCGGCGGCTGCCGCGGCTGCCAGCAGTGATGAGTCAGACGGTTCGCTGCTGCCATCATCCCCTCGCCTGCATCTCCATCTTTAGAGCATCTTTAGAGCATCTTCGGGAGGCCGGTGGCGGCAAAGGTGCCCGTTGACTCGCTTGACGCGGGGAAGGGGGTCGTGGGAAGCAGCCCCGAGAGCCGCCTGGCCCGCCGCTCCCCAACCGGGCCGCCCCGCTCGCGGGCCCGAAGACCTTGACGCGCAAAAAAAGGCAGCGGTCCTCGCTCAGCGCCTCCGGCGGAGCATGCTTCCCGCCCCCCGGACCGCCTTCCGACGCGCGTCGCGGCCCGGGACTCGGCGACAGCGGCTCAGCGGCGTCTCGCCGGGGCTCCGGCCGGCCGGGCAGCCTTGCTGAGAGCGCTTTGGCTCCCCCCACCTCCCGCGCGGGTTGCGAGTGGGCAGCAGCTTCGTGGGAAGGGCTGCGGGGCTGAACGTGGGAACCCCCACTCCCCCTCCAGGCAGAGGGGAGGACAGCATCCCTGGGGCAGCCAGCACCCCCCCCCCTCTCTCGGCCGGGCTTCCCCTCGAAGCTCGCCCGCTTGGAGCGCCCAAGACCCCGTCCTTCCCCCGCGAGAATCTGGGAGAAACAGGCGCCCCCCACCCCCAGGCGAAGGAAGGCCGCCCAGAGCACTAGCAGCCTCCCGGGTTGGGCCCGGGTCTGATCGCCCCCGCTTGGCTCCTCCGCGCCGGCCGCCCCCCGAGCCGCCCCTGCAGGAGCGGCAGCCGCGAAGGCTCGCCCCCCGCCCGCCTCCGAGGGACGATGGAGGCCATTTGGCTCTACCAGTTCCGCCTGATCGTCATTGGGGACTCGACGGTGGGCAAGTCCTGCCTCATCCGCCGCTTCACCGAAGGCCGCTTCGCCCAGGTCTCCGACCCCACCGTGGGCGTGGATTTCTTCTCGCGCCTGGTGGAGATCGAGCCCGGCAAACGGATCAAGCTGCAGATCTGGGACACCGCCGGCCAGGAGAGGTTCAGGTGAGCAGGGATGGGAGGCATGGCGGCCTTGGTCCAGGGTCGGCCCTTGGGGTGGGTGCTGGGGGGGGTTCCCTTGGCTTGGAGGGAGAGGCCGAGGGAAGGAGGGAAGACCCCACTGGGCCGGGTCTTGCCCTGGGGGAGGGGCATCTTTATTGAGTCGGTAGGGAGTTGGATGCTCTTTGNCTTTAACCTTTTTACAAGTCCACCATATATGGTAATACGTAGCATCAACACAATCTGACTTTTGTGCCTAAGGCAGAACTAGAGCTCAAAGTCACCTGGTGATTAACCTGAAGTTACCCAGTTGGCTTTCATGGCTAAGGCAGGACTAGAACTCCCAGTCTCCTAGTGTCTTGGCCCAAAGTCATCTAGCTGACTTTTGTGCCTAAGGCAGGACTAGAACTTAAAATCTCTTGGCGATTAACCCGAAGTTACCCAGCTGGCTTCCATGCCTAAGACGGAACTAGAACTCCCAATTTCTAGCCCGGTGCCTTAACCACTAGACCAAAGTAGCAGAGGATGGGGGCTGTGGCTGGAAAGGCCAGCTGGTTTGATACAAACCCTCCCTCTGTGGGCACACAAGCTGTTGCCCTAGTTCAGCTCTGCTATGCATCGGTGTGCACCTCCCGCCAGTCAGCTGGTCTTCGGGTCTCTGCCACGCATGCATAGGTGTTGTGCGTGGGTAGCATGTGCGTGCATGGGGGCACACATGCATGGAGTGTATGCACCTGTGCAGGAGTGTGTATGGGCAGGGACATGCATGCGAGGGGAGAGGGACACATGCATGGGAGGCAGGGTGCATGGGGGCACCCATATATGTGTGGGGAGGGGCATGTGGGGCGCATGTGCAGAGGTGGGTGCATGTGGAAGCGTGCATGCACGGGGACAGGACGCATGCATGGGGGCCGCATGCGCATTTCATTTTGGGGATTCAGGCATGCACGCTTTGGGCACTGTCTGTAAAAGTTTACCCATCACTGCCTTGAACTGTACCTCTCAAGAGTATGAGATTCTGAGCAGACCATTCCTGGTTTTCAGGCCAGCCAGGCAATGTTGAATGCAGATCACTAAAGAGGCCATTTATGCTTGGAGCTGCATCTATGCCCAGTAAGTAAATAAACAAATTAATTCTGCTTTGTCTTACAGCGTGGCATCATATAAAAACAGAGCACTGAATTCACTTTGCATCAGCCTGAGCTCCCAGGCAGGAGTAGACTTAGTCCTACACAAGTTGGGAGAAGAGTTATTGTTTCCCTCCACCTTAGAACCAAAGTGCAGAGCCAGTTTGGTGTGATGGTTAAGGCACCAGCTTAGAAGCCAGGGGATCCTGAGTTTGAGTCTCATCTTAGGCACAAAGCCAGTGGGGTGACTTTGGGCCAGTCAGTCCCTCAGCCCTTGGAAGGAAGCTCTGACAAGTCCTTTCTGGAATCTTGCCAAGAAAACTGCAGGGATCAGATGCCCAGGTTGTTACCAGGAGTCAACACTGGCTTGAAAATGCAGAAAGAGAGGAGCAAAATAGCTTCCTAAGACTGAGAAGACTCTAGATCAGTGACAGAGAACTTATTTGCTCTGTAGAAGGTTCTATGTTCAATTGCAACAGTAGGAAGTTAGCACCCACCCCCCTCCTAGAAGGATGAAATATTTTGAGAAATATTAGAAAGGCAGAATATTATATTTCCCTGGATGAGAAATGGAGAATCATGTTTTTTTAAGAGGGAGAAAGCAGCCCACACCTTTTCTTAATGGCCTTGAGCAATTATCAGCACTTAAGAGATAAAGAGATAGGTAGCTCTATTCACAGGCAAAGCAAACACCTCAGGCAGAATCCCCCCTCAAGACAGGGTATTTTGAAATTCCCTGCAGCAAAGTCTGAACAAAGGGAGGATTAACCCTCAGCCACAATAGGAATTACCCAACACCCTTTCAGGACACAAGGGCCTTCATTGCATCACCCTCAGAAATAGCAATCAAACCTGGGGAGCTCAAACAAACCCTTAGGTGATGGCTAACCTTTCCCAGACTGAGTGCCCAAAAGTGTGCGTGTGTGCATGAGTGCATGTGCGCCCCTGAAGCCCCATAATGCAATGTGCATGCAGCCCCTGCACATACTCTTCTCCCTAACTCTAATCCTAAACCCCCGTCCATGAGCCCTGCCCCCCCCACATGGGTGGGTTCCCAAATGCACCCCTGCACATGCCCCACACCTGCACATGTGTGCATGCACCCCATTTCCCATGCACAGTCGGTGGGAGGCGCATGTGCAGAGCTGAACTGGGGTGACATCTCGTATGCCCACAGAGAGGACACTGTGTGCCATAAGTTTGCCATCATGGACCTACGATTTCTACTTTGCCTATAGAGCCAGCTATGACCCTTACATAACCCCAACAAGGCCCGATGGGAGTCTGACAACAGCCAATAGAATATATGTTCTTGCACACGAATAGGAAGCTCAAGTACAAAGCCCCAAAGAAGGACTAGGGGAGACATGATAGCAGTGTTCCAATATCTCAGGGGTAGAGGGAGAAGAAGAGGGAGTCAAACTATTCTCCAAAGCACCTGAGGGCGGGACGAGAAACAATGGGTGGAAACTAATCAAGGAGAGAAGCAATTTAGAACTGAGGAGAAATTTCCTGACAGAACAATTAATCAGCGGAACAACTTGCCTCCAGAAGTTATGAATGCCCCTAGTCCTTCTTT